CACACTTCGTTGCTTGTTCGTGAATTCTTGGCCAAAAACAATACTGTAACGATGCCCCAGCCTCCATATTCGCCAGACATGGCTCCGTGTGACTTTTTCCTATTTCCAAAAATAAAGAGAACCTTAAAGGGCCGTCGTTTTACAAGCATAGATGACATTAAAAGCGCATCGCTGAAAGAGCTAAAGGCTATCCCAAAAATCGAGTTTGAGAAGTGTTTCGATGATTGGAAGAAGCGCTGGCGTAAGTGCATAATATCGAATGGGGACTATTTTGAAGGCGACAACATTAATGTAGACGAATGAATAAATATTTTTTCCAAAATACGGAAATTCCCGTCATTTTTTGAACACACCTCGTACTTCTCATATATTATTACAATTGTGTATTCATTTAAGAAGATATCAGAAGAAAGGTTCATCCAAGCTATGCAGCTGTTATGTCTAGTGAGACACTGGCAAATTTCATCACCCTTAAATTTTAATAAATTAAGAAATGTATACATAGCATAACAATTCAAGCATATTTGTTCCCATCTCTTTAATCAGCTTGTGCACCATATGATCTGCAGAGAAAGTGCTCCACTTCTCCCTACAAATTTTGTTCAAAACATTAATGAGTTAAGTTTGAAATGTGTACAGAATTGCATGTAGGTCTTAGTGTAAATTGTCAGTTTTAACTAAAACTGTAATATGTGAACAAATTTTGGTAGAACTCCCTACTATCATATTTCATAACAATCCATCTGATTCATGAGTTGTTACATGTGGTTGATGGATGGGCAGAAATACAAATATACACCGCGAAGCTAATACATATATTTTTACAACATTCTGTTGAGAACACACCAAAAATTATTGCACAATTGAATTGTAATTATATTACATAACTTTTTCTGCAAGTTCTTCTTTGAAGAATTAACTAATTCATTATTCTTTAGCATCAACCTGATGATACTAAGGCAGAAAACATTGCAAACCTTGTTAATCTGACACACCAGTAGTTAATGGTAGGATGATAAACTCGTTTGCCATTAATTTCACACTTAATAGTAATAAGTGGTAATTTTACCTTGAATTGGCACCTGGAAGCTTGTATGTGGGAGGTAAACATTCTGAAGACGTCCACCTTGTACAGTCACTGAGGGAACCAAATATTGCACTGTCTCAGTGGCCGAAGATGTTTGAGTTCCACCACTGACGCCCTGTTGTGGCTGATGTAAGGAAGGGTGCTCCACCTCTAAGTTGATGCTGCGAGTACCAGTTTTCAGGAGGAGGTTTGTGAAGGGTCCTGAATCAGTAAGGCTAAGTGTTGCAGCAGTAGGAGTAAGTGTGGTGGGGCTAAGAAATAGAGTTAAAGGTTGTGCCTGGTATGAGGCAGCAGTGGAGGTAGGGACTAAATGTGTTTGTGACTGTGATGTGGAAGGGGCTGGTATTGGTCTACTGACCAAATGCTGCTGCTGTGTCTCAAACCTCTGCTGCTGATGCTGAGCAGGAACAGATTGCTGGAGAATGGTAACTGTGGTAGGTTTCGCCACACTATTGGTCTGGGAATGTGCAAGTTCAGAAGATGTAGAAGTTGAAGCACTCTTCATCCAGTGCCGATTGTTCTCGCCTGGATTATGAGTGCTTGCTGTTGTGATAATATTCACAATGCTTCCAACAGGAGCTGATGAACGGGATGTTGTCATAGATGTCACTACACTAGCATTCCAACCTGATGATACATTTGAGATCCTCTGTTCTGTATCACTGATTTTGGAGTTCACTTGTGACACTGGTGGTGGCACCTGCTGTTCAGTCAAATTCTTTACAATCTTTGGTGATACCGGCATTGTCTTGAATGCTCCACCACCTGTTGGCTGGAATCCTGATATTCCCATGGGATTTACAGGTGAATGGTATGGGTAAGACAAGACACCTACTGATCCACTTTTCTCTCCAGCACCATGATGAAACTTAGATCCAGCCTCCATATTGCCTGAGGGCAATCTATCCACAACAAAAAAATAATTTCAGCTATGCACAAAGAAACTGGTATATTTTCTGTATTACAAACGACCCTACATCAATAAATCTTCACTATATTCATTTTGGTTCAAAAAGATTTGTTTGTATCTTGTGAGTTCATATACATTATTATTTCTCTTGTTTAGACCAAACCCAGTGAATTCTCATGTTTTTTAAAACAAAACTGGCATGCCTTAACTATCATCAAAATGAACACGGAAAAATTTAATTGGTGCAAGGACTTTTTTTTATTGCTAGTGGGGTGGGACTTAGTCCCTTGCACTGTGGCCACTTCTGGCCTATTATACCAGCCCCAGATGACAGGTGAGGGTGACTGTGGAACAATTGGTGGAATGAAGATTGGCAGGGGAAACCAAAGAACTCAGAGAAAACCTGCCCCAGCGCCACTTTGTCCACCACAAATCCAACTTTACCAGACCCGGGATTGAACCTGGGCCGCCGCGGTGGCAAGCCAGCGACTAACCACTTGAGCTATGGCGTGGCCTCTGACAACACCATTACAAGTGTAAAATGATTAAATTACACAAGACCGAAACATTTTAAAATTTATAACACTTCTTTCTTTATGCAAAAGATCTCCTGACTATATTTTAAAATGTACTGTACTTAAATTAAACTTCTCTCCTTAAGGACAGGCTTAATGTAAGATAAAACACGTAAGTTCGATTTGTTTCGTTCTGGTCCGTCACACTAACAATATTACAAAGGTTAATTAATTCCATCCAGTGTGACTGATGGTCTTTTCTTTTTAATCTTTTATCCTTTACATCCTTTACACAGAACTATACAGTATTAGAACCGTATAACAACACAGCGCGCCTCGAACATCAACAAGATGACCCTAAAGAAATCTATTCTCCAAATGATGGAACCACGGAGAGGTGGATGCTTGGCTTCCTTCGGGGAGAGGAAATAGAAGGGACATGAACCAATTTAGTTTAAAAGAAAATTAATATTTTTAAACAACTAACTGTAATAAATATTTTAAGGTGTTGGTATAAGCCACTGTAGTTGTTAAAAAACATTAGATTTTTTCATTGTATTATGATGACACTGTATGTACATATTAATAGTTAATATTCAAAGAACATATTATAATAGTGGTTTGTAATTGTATTCATATCCTTCTGATGATGGCCTATAAGACCGAAACATGTAAAGGATAAAAGATTAAAAAGAAAAAACCATCAGTCACACGGACAGAATTAATTAACCTTTGTAATAAAACACGTAAGTAACATAAATGAGTGAAGTGAAGGCCATAATTTTTAAATGATCATACTCTGTGCCATCAGAAATTGTTATATACATGACAGATTTCGATGTGAAGCCAAACCAGTTTTGCACATGCCTGTGCGCACACACTTACATATTTAAAGTTATCTTTCTACTACAGTGAAATGTCTATTTAATGCTTCTTAATGTGGAAATACATTCAAACATTATGCTCAGGAAGATCTGAATGAAAGAAGTGAACTGGACTATAAATAAGAGAATCTGAGGAACATTAAAATGGGGACTTTCACAGTCATGACTTGTATTAGAATCCATACCTTGCTTTAATTGGTTTCGGACGGCAGGTCACCTCACCCGTACCAGTCTTGATGCCTGACACTGGGCTGAACCTCTGTTGGGGGAATGCTTTATTCTCTATCAGTGGTTCCAAATCACTCTGTGACTCTGAATCAGAATCATTTACTTTCTCCTTGCACTTGAGATCAATTTCAGGTTGTGGATCTTCACATATCACCTACAAATCCAAATTAAAGCAATGAGCCAAATATGGCACTCAAGTCAACAAAATGGATACTTCTTTTCTGGTGTTCAGATGATTAATTTTTTTTTAATACCTAACAAATGGACAGACAAGATACCCACAACAGGAGAAACTCAATATCCAGAATATCTCTGAGGATGCGCCAGCATGTGACATTATTAGAAAGTTACATTTTATCTTCAGCCTAGGATGGGAACCAAACGCATCACGTTGGAGTTCTCATTCAATACATGACGCTTCTTCTGTACGGTTACATACTCAAGACATGATGTACGCTCAAAGATGTTTTAGATAAACGAAAATGTTGGACCAACCTCTCTAAAGTGATTAAAGCCATCAGCAAGGTTTCCAAGAGAAAACCACAAAGGAAACGGATTAAAGTTTACTCACTGTGGGCAACTGAAGGTAGAACTTGGAATGATATATCATAGAAATCACAGTATTGCAATTACATGAACCTATGGGAGATTTTTTTCCACCTACCTGAGAAACCATGAACATCTTAAATGCATATAAAAACAAACTCCATGGCCTATAGTCTGCAAGCAAACTATACCGACCGAGCGACTGCCGCTTTTCAACGAAGTTAGTGCCAACTTTTGTGGACAGAGGGTCTTGCGTGGTCAGCGCAATGGAACCCATGGCCATTAATCTCAGTTTTCTAGACCATAGCAGCTATTTCCTTGAAACAGCTTCTCAATTATCCTCATGAGGCCAAGTGAATCCCATTCCAGACCCACTACTTCTCAGAAAAACTGGTCACGCCGGGAATCGAACCTGGGACCTCTGGCTCTGTAGCCAGGAACTCAGGACCACTAGACCAAAGAGGCAGTCCTTAAGTGTACACAGCAAGACAAATTTCCACTAAGTTGATGTCATGACGTTACCAGTAATACAAAAGAGTTTCCACTCTTAGGCTGTGTACAGCAGTACTGATGGTTATTTTAATATATATGTTTTTACTGTAAGGGTGCAAAATCTTTTTGTGAAAACCTCCTCTAGGTAACAAATATTATTACACTCAATGTTCCAAGCTAAACTCTGTGTGCTTCTTTTGGATTGTTTTGGACTTCATCCATCATCTGGTATGTAAAAGACAAAAGACCAGACGATGGATGAAGTCCAAAACAAGCCAAAAGAAGTACAGTATACACCATTGTCAGAATCCTTTCAAGTCTATCTAAACTCTGTGTGGTTATTTACACTGTGTATATATTATTATAATGCTGTAAATTTATTGGGAAATAACATAGATACTTGAACTCCACGGCCTGTAGTCAACAAGCGAACTATACTGACTGAGCGACCGCCTCTTGTCAGCGAAGTTAGTGCCAACTTTTGCGATAGAGGGTGTCACGTGGTCAGCACAACGGTTCCCCATGGTCGTTAATCTCAGTTATCTAGACTGGAGCTACCATTTCCTTGAAATAGCTCCTCAATTATCCTCATGAGGCTGAGTGGACCCCGTTAGAGACCCACTACTTCTCAGAAAATCTGGTAGCACCGGGAATCGAACCCGGGACCATGGGATCTGTAGGCAGGAACTCTGACCACTATACTACAAAGGAAAATATAGAAATTCTATCACATGTTAGTATGGAGTTTGGTCTAGAAGTGAACACAAAGAACAGTATCATCATCATGAACAAAATAATACAAAGGAAGTCAACAAATTCCTACAAAATGTAGCAAAGTTAAAATATTTGGGAATGCCAGTAACAAATCAAAACTGCAGTCATGAAGAAATTAAGAGCAGACTCGATTCAGAATATTCTGTCCTTCTGTCTCATATCTAAAAATGCAAAGATTAAAAACTATATGAGTTCTTGACTAGAAGAGTGGCCATTACTTTCTCAAGGTGCAGAAATCTATTGAGCTGGATGTTTTGTATGTGTGAGTGGAACTTAGTCTCTCGTCCTAAGGGAAGGATACAGACTGAAGATGTTTGTGAACACGGCACTGAGGAGGATATCTGGAACTATGAGGACAAAAGGAGTAACAGGAGATGCATGATTTGAACTTCAACAATTATTATAATGGTGATTAAAATCAAGGAGGATGAGTTTGGGCAGAGTCTTAGCACTCACAAGAAAAATGAACAATGCACAGAAAATTATAGTTGGAAAACACAAAAGGAAAAAAACACCCTTAGAGACCTGGGTGTAGATGACATCATATCATTCACATGGATTTTAAAGAAAAAGTATGCAAGGATGTGGGTTGAATTCAGCTGATGATAAACTTTCAGGTTCTGTAAACTTCAAAGAACTTCTTGAATAGCTAAACTATCATTCATTTCTCAGGAAAGAATCTGGTCCATGAAGCTAATGCATGTATGACTGTGCGAACTTATTACATTACACTGATGACTTTTGTATGCATTGCATATATAAATGTAGGAGGATGGTAACATCATGAAGAACACAACAGGAGGAATGTGAATTTTCTTTTGGAGGTTATTTAATGACACTTTCTTTAACAAGGCTGTACAGGATCAGATGGCAGGATGATAAATTGAAAGGATTTGTAAGAAAGTGGTTGGGGCCTAAGGTACTATTTTGGCAATTGCTTGGAAGAATTCAGGAAAACCACTCTACAGAATTTTACAGTACCTGTTTCTTGAATAAAATATTTTCTCAATAACTTTTCTCTTCTTTATTTTTGAGTTTCTGAATTTGGGGATCTTTCTGGAGCATGGTAAATGAAGTTCATACAGCTAGGAAGTAAGGATTTGCCATGATATTATCAAAATACATTACATCTACCATTTGGTCTTCATCTGAGAATTCATCCTCAGCTTGCCCATGTATTCGATCACCTTGATTCTCTTCAGCTTCAATCTTATGCTGCAGCTTTAATCCCTGCTGTTCCACACCCTGGAACAAATTACAGAATGAGAACAAGCTTCACTCTCAGGGAAAGGGCACACCAAGGAAACCGCAACACAACCGCAATATCTGAGAACTGTTATCAGCCTGAGTTGAACACATGCTACTGAAAGGAACAGCACAAATTGAGGAAACGTTAACGCCAGTTTCCTTGGTCTGCCTTAGCCCTTAGCGTTCAGATCTAACTACTAAAAAAACGCCACCCTATAGCTCAAACGGTCATGTAAGGCTGGCAGCCTCACCACCATCTATGAGCCTACTGTCTAGAAAATGTGACAACCTCAACATCTCACAACCCTATGGGCCTCCAGGGCCTGTTAGCGGGATACCTTTACTTTTACTTTACTGGTTTTACTGTACAATGTGGAATACAATATCATTCCCTGGAAATCCCACTGCTGTTACACTGGTGCATGAATTAGAGAAGTTTAAAAACCACTGACTCAGTGAATCCCAAACTATGGTGAATGAACTCTATCTTCAAGAACAAGAAAAAAATTGGTGTGATGATGCATATTGTATTTATTTACAAGATGAAAGAAGAAGCTGTTAGTTGCAGGTTACATCAGTTAATGACAGACCATCTATTTAAAGTGAGATGTGATGTCCTAATAAGCAGTGAATATGAATATGGGATGACACCTTGTAGTCTGGTACATGTTTACCAAAAGATGGTGGCACCATGTTCCTCCAAAACACTAATAAACATTTATCAGATGATGTGATATCATATTCCAGAAGACGGCAGTCTTCATTTATTCTAAAATCCTTAATAACTTTGTCTTGAGCCTTACCTCAATATTTGCTTGGGGATCTTCCTCTTGTGTTGAATAACTTGTTGAGGCCTGCTGTATACTGTTATCACTTAAATGGGGTTGAGCATCTGGCAAAGAAGGACCAGGGCTCTGAGATGAAGGTTGTGCACCCTCACTTCCTCCATTGGCCTGCTGGGAACCACCTTCGGTGCCTTCATCCACTGAGCCCAGTTTCCCCCGTGGTTCTCCTTTACAAGAACTAGTAGATGACTTACGCCTATCTTTACTACACCATTTCCAGTCTGGGTGAGCTTTGAAATGAGCCTCTTTTACCTACAACAATATATAAATTGTACTACATAGGACCCAAGGTTCTCTCAGTGGTGGTTATGAAGAGTTCTATCTTGTGGGATATAATGCCATAGATTTTCAGAAGACATATGATAGAACTCTTCACAGATTGTACTTACAGCAACTCTCTAGGATCCATTAAGACAATGTTACCAAAACCCGAAAATGAATTATGAAATATACCGCAGGCTGTTGAATCACAGAGACAGTGAACTCAGGTGTATCGATGGATAATATTAAACTTGACATGACAACATTAACATTATCCACTGAACAGAATACAACAGTGCAATTAGGTATATGAATTTTACTACATGATGCTTTGCTGCACAAATCAGAATACTGTTGCAGATTAGTGACAAGACAATGAGTTTGGATTGACAATTGGATTTACTGGACCTTTACTGCTTTTAACTACAAATAACTACAATACTTTTATTATTCTTCGAATTCTTTACGTAACTACAGCACTTCTCAAGTCAACCTGCTCTATCTTCATGTACTCATTCCTTGGCAATGACCTCTAATAGCCACGCCTATCCCTAGTACTTTCATGTTTCACCCCTCCCCATAACTTCTACAAAGTGATGCCCTACCATAAAAAGCAGTAGGAAGCTTTAAAGATGTTTTAAAGCCTTAATTCTCTATTGACAAAATACACCGGCTGGATGGAATCTTACAAATTATGCTTAACCCTCAACACAGATGGGTCTGCCCTACACAGAATGATGAACGTACACTGTGCCAGTTAATCTAACATAACAGTCTTTTACCTTTGTCATGAGAGAATGTTGACACACAAAGAGCAGACTCTGAAAGCCCTACTGCTGTGGAAATGGGTAAAAATTTGTAAAAATTGATATATATGACCTTGATATACACGCAGAATTAAGAGTACTGGGGTCAACTGGCTGTGCACAATACAAGAATATTAAATTTTTATGACCACTTTCACATACCTCTGATGCCAGTTCATGATATTTCTGCTTCTCGTCTGTTCTAAGAGCATACCACCATTCACCCAAGATTTTTGACACAGTTCGATTGTCTTGATTTGGATGTTGCTGATGAACCAAAGCTCTATGACGTTTACTGAATATCATGAAGGCATTCATAGGACGGCGAATACGGTCACGCTCCTTTACCTATTACAAGAATATTAATTAGTGTAACATTCATTATAAAAGAAATCTTATTTAATGATAATCTTCATAAAAGAAATGAGACTTCATCAAATACATCATAAATTTTAAAGCAGTTTTTCATTAAGATCTGTCCATAACATATTCTTGAAAGTTAACTGTTCTGTTTCCAGCAGGCTAACAGTTGACAATATGAGCCAGTAAGAGACAGTGCAAAGAACTGTCAGTACAATTCTATATAACTGTTCACAAAAACTGGCCAAACCTCTTCTAGCTTATATGCACACTTTACAGAGACAATGAATGGAATCCTTGATATGTTGTCTATTGCAGCAGCCAGGATGTGACTGATCAGGTTATTACAACTTTGTACCTCCAAAACATAAATAATGGAGATGGCTACAGGTTAAGTAAAGCTTGGCTTTACCTCTTCACCCCCCAAACCCACCAATGAATCACCTTTAACTATCATTGAATTCCCTTTCCTGTCCACATTGGGTTAAAAAGGAAGGAACACAGGAAAAGCGAGAGAAGCAAGCAATTTTGTCTCATCTCAGTTTAAATATGGGGTTTGTGAAGTGTTTTCCCCACCTCTTCTCAGGACCACCTGGTTATAAGAAGACTGTCATCACTTCTTTTCATTTACCACATGGTCACTGAAATATTTTTCCTCACAAACACATGGTTTCTCCCTGTTAACTACCATCATACTCCTCAGTTTGTTCAATCATGACTTCACATTCGACACACTGCCCAGTGTGACAGCTATATGAGAGCTGCCAAAACCCCTCCCAAAACCATTAACCCTGAAGACAGCAAATGCAAGGTTTGTCAAAACACTATCATATCCTCTACTTTAGACAAAGTACAGTCCCAAAAGCTGAAGCCATACATTATACTCCAGAAACCTAGGCACAGAATTCTACAGAATTTTTACATAGTCTGTAGTATCAGGCATGGCATGACGATGATTGTATACTTGCTTTAGTTAAGAACTCTTACCCTTTTTATCTACATTACAGAATCATAGATAAAATACGTAACAGCCCTATCCTCACATCATTATCTTGTCACCACTAAGATTATAAGAAAACAATGAGGCTTTCATGTACCTTCTGAGGGCTGTGGGGCTCCTTGCTGCTCTGCAGAGCACTTAGTGACTGTGTTCTACGCTTGCCTGCAGCAGCTGCATCTAAGACACCAGGCTCAGTAGGTCCTTCTGGTTCAAACACATCGTCATCCTCATCCCCACCTTGAAGGTCCATATTTTCACCTTCAAGATCATCACTGTGCCTTGGTTCTGCAGTAACTGCACCACTAACACTAGCACCAGTAACTCCTCCAGAGACAGGTGGTGCAGAGTGTGGAGTTGTTGGCGATGACAGAGGTGGGGATGTGCTGCACTGAGTCGCTGCCAGCAGCGGAACCAGTGAATTCCATGAATATACTGGCAGTGACTGGGAGCTGTTTATTGCTGAAAGAACAGAATATCCTATTATAGCCTATTATCGCTGGTTACTTTCTTCAGCAGTATCTTCTTTAATGTTTTAATTAAATGAATATTCTTATATAGAGCTATAATACCCAGTAAAAATAGCACAACTAAGTATAATATTGCAATAATTTTACTTTCCTCAATGTAATTTTCAAGGTACCAGAGTCATAATTACATGCCTTAAACATAAGTCTTGTGTTTTATACTTTGTAAGCAGAAACATTCATATAAATATATAATTTCAACTGCTTCGTTAGTGAGGTATGACAACAATGCATATGGCAATGCTGAGGCAGCATCACAAAACGGATGAAGCACTCATTCAGTCTGCAGACTTGTACAAGATCAGTACTGTTGATGTTCTGGTAACTGCAGTGTTTCAAGTTCACCAATGATCTCAATCCTGCTGATTTCTACCTGTGGGGCCTTCTGAAGAACATCCTCTATGCCCAACAATATAACATGTGGGAGAAGTGGCATCCAAGTGAAGAAACTTGGACAATATGCAATATGCCTGATGACTTTCACCAGACCATGAAATCTTAGCACAACAAATAGGGCTCAGTTATGCATCGACTCTAATCGTGCACTGTTTCAACATCTTTTGTAAACTCTTAGTAACTGGCTATATGCTGTTCTTGTCACAGCTAATGAATTCTTTATCTACAACTATGTTAATTGTTTGCTTTTCTTTCCTTGTGTTTACTGTTGTCACCTCTCACTAATGAAGTGGCTGCGACCATATACTTATTTGGATGTTTAGCTTGCCTATAAATGCAGGTCACAGTGCTTATATTTAAGGTATGTAATTAAGATTCCTGGCAGTCACAGTAGCTGAGCGGTCTAAGGCATGTACTGTCTTCACTTGCTTGGAAACTGGGATCGTGGGTTCGAATCCCACTGAGGGCATGAATGTTTAGTTTGTGTGTGTGTGTTTTTCTGTGTTTGTGTACATGTAGAGGCCTTGCGATGAGCTGATCACCCATCCAAGGAGTCCTACCAAATGTGTAAGATCAAGAGAAACCGAAGTGAACGGAGAAGTTCATGGAGGTAGGCCTAGGCCCACTGGGGCTGTAGTGCCAAGAAAAAAAGAAAAAATTAAGATCCCTATGTTAGGTGGGTCCCTTGTCACCACGTCATAGCGCATCATCAGGTTGAGGATGGAGGGTAGCATGAATATATTGATTAAGCAGTTGCAGACAGCTGATAAGGGGTAGTCCTCCAGTGCGGGTCCCACAATTCCTCACCGTAAAAGTAAACTTGTTACTAAATGTCACAGAGGCTTCAGGCTTTGATGAAATCTTAGAAATATAGGATTGCATGGTATGGATTGGAGTGATCTGCCTCAGGATAGGGACCAGTGGTGGGCTCTTGTGAACATGGTAATGAACCTTTGGGTTTGTTAAAAAGTTCTTGAGTAGCTGCACAACTGCTTGTTTCTAAAGAAAGGCTCAGATCCATGAAGTCAGTTAAGACTCACCCCATACACAGAAATCACCTTTATCACTTCCACTCAAACAACACTTGAAGAATATATGGGCTAGTACTATAACAAATTTGACGTTTAACTTTTATATCATTAGAACTGTCATGCAAGGTTGGGATTAGGGCAAACACAACCACGGAAGAATAAATTTAACCTTAAAACAATCAAAATTGTAATATCCTTCAGTTTAACCAAACAAAAGAGAAAATAAATTTAATGTAAATGTACAGGCTTACGGTGATGCTGATGGAAATGGCTATACTGATGAACTGGAAACAACTGGACAGAAACCCATCATGAGGACAAATAATTGATCATTTCCGTCACTTCATAAAATAATCTCTGCAAAACCTATGCAATGCTAGGATTATATATGCAACTCTGATGTAAATTTCTGAAGAATGCTAAGAGGTACACCCTGTTTCTAGATGATTGCGTTATATATAGTGTCCCCATAATGTATGCACATTATGGGCATTAAAAACACATAAAAAATGGAGACAAACTGACAGTTTTTTGAAGTGGTGCAAACACTGGAAGTTGCAAGAACCACACAAAACTTAGTACTGGTACACTCCGCTTGATGGCAGTATCTGGCATAAAACAAAATTACTTAAATTTTGTGGGTGCTTTATGAATGTGTGCGATGGAAGAGAATCATTTCCAGATTTCATTGCCTGGTCTGATGAAGGAACTTCTGAATTATCAATCAACACAAACGTGTTTACTCGGCCACAGAATACTCAAATATGAATAATGGAAAAACAAGCAGTTACTTTATCAGGGACATCTGTGTGGTACAATATGTCTTCAAGAGGGTCATTATGCTGCTCCCTTCAATGCTGCTGTCAGTATTGAACAGGTATTGGTGGTGGTCATTTTGAACATGTGTGACCTTAAGCTAATCAGCACAATAATGGGTTAACACCTGTCTACTTTACTTGTTACAGTATAAGTTAATGAAGTGTGTACACATTTTCTGGGAATGGAGACACTGTATATGTAAGCTCTGCTGCTACATATTACAGATCCATACAATCCCTAAATTGCTGGCCATGAAGCCTATATATTGTAGCATGGACAGATGTTGCTATGCAACACGTGAATAAACAATGGTGCTATGCAACCAATTTCCAGGCAACTGCATAGTAAACACACATTTACAACAACACAGTTATTGTTGGAAATGGTGTTTCCTACCAGGTCTGTGCAAAGGGGTTATAAGAAAGATAATTAGGGTGACCCTGTCAGTTGAGAATGAGGATTCAAGTTCCAAAGTTGTCAGTTCAGTGGAGTTCCGTATGGTAGGCTGTGAAGAAAAGTTAGTTGAAAGACAACCTGTGAAGAGAAGACTAGGCTGGTGTGAAATGGCCGCCAGCCTGAGAGTTAGTCAGCTGAAAGCTGAGTTCTGCACAGGAGGCTATAAGATATAACCTGAGCACAGGAAACTGAAGAATCTCCACTGCTGGAAGAAGTTGCCAGGGAACAGCTGGTTAAGACACAGCAGGATGGAAAAGGCTTAGAGGGTGCTGTGGTAATTTGTGAACTGTGGAGATTAGCGATAGTGCTGTAATTACTTGTAGTTCCAAGTGGTGTGTATAAGCGGGCAATAACTCCATTTACCAATCCGTACCCCATCCATAGTCACACAAACTATGTGATAACATACTGGTGACATTGTCTAGGAACATGATCCACAATGACATGATTGAAAAGTCTACTGAACAAATCTTCAAACTACTACTGATACATGCGCAACTTTTTTTCCTTACCAAGCACACCATTCTTTTCCCTTGCATCTGGCCTCTTTTGTGCAAGTGGCAGAACAGGGACAAGTTGTGTGGGTTCCACTATTACAGGATGGAACATGTTGTTTGGCTGTAGGACTGTTGTAGGGGTGGCAGGGCTGTTATTAGTCTGCTGATGTTGCTGTTCCACTGTCATGCTGTCAGCAGGCTGTTTAACCACTTCTATGGGTTGAGAAGCTGCCTGTGATGTTGACATATGGAGGCCAATCCTACCAGCCTGCTGCAGTACAGATGCCTAACAATAATTTAAAGTTTCAAAATTAGTACAGAGCAAGAACAGGTTCCTAACTTACTTCCATATATGACGAGCATTCCGGAAGTTTCGAGTGTGTGATCATTATATGTTACAGCCAATAAATCAAGAGAAACAATTTGTCACAATATATTTACATACAATGTTTTATTTCTGCTAGTACTGGAAAACTGCAAACTCGACCAGCTGGACCACACACGTTGCTGCAATAATGTGATGTGGTACCAATAAATGTAAAACAATATGTGTTTATGATGACGATGCTGATGATGACAATGATAACAGAAACAGGTTACTTGCTTTATCCTCCTGAGATATACTAAGTGAAACAATCTACTTACTGGAGTTTTATCCACAACCACTGATTGTGGCAGAGAGCTAGTGCTGGAAGCTGCCGGAATACGATTCACCATCACAGCAGTGGGAAATTTATCCAGATCTCCATCACTTTTTATCACAACAAACTTTTTCTCTTGTGGGGAAGACTGATGTGGAACTAAATACAAAGTGTTCCCACCACTGGAACTTATATTTCCTCCAGGAGAACAGTCCATAAGTTCATTCTTTGGCATCTGCATTAAAGTTACACTGTGCTGCTGGGGGGGAGGTTTCAGTACCCTAATGTGCTGATGTGGATATTCAGGTCTAGGCCCCTCAACATGGTGCTGACTACTGGAGTGCATGTCTGTAGTGTTTGTTAGTGCCTGCTGAAGAATCAGCCCTTGTTGATGCTGATGATGTTGCTGACTGGCAGAAGTTACAACAGAAGGGAACGGGTTGATTGGCTGCTGACTTGTAACTTCACCATATGAAGCAGCACCAGGGCTTTCTACTCGCCATGATGCATGTTGCTGCTGCTGAGAACTTGCAATAGAAGAAGCAGTTACAGGACCTCCTCGTGCTGGATTTGGTGAAATTCGAATGACACTTGTTGCCATCCCAGGAGGATGTGAAGTAACAGGTGGAGGATTGGGTGGAGACGGCTGGACTACCTGACTGGGACGTAACAACTCTGGCCTGAAATGAAAGATATCCACAACACAAAATCCACATTAAATGCCAACGGTATGTAGTCTGAGATACTGACAGTATCACAAAGCAGACCAAAGACCAACCACCCATAAATAAATAATAATGCAATTTTGGATCCATACATTCGAACTTAACGTTCCAAAATGTGACCTTAAAAAAGAAATCTTAACACTTTCAATACCCTTCATATTATTGGGAAGAAAGTAAAGTACATGAACTCTTAACAAAGTCAAAACTAAAGGACCAAAACTTATACAGTTCTCAGTTAACTGTTAACTATAGTACAATTCTGCGTAAACTGCGGCAGTCAACTTGAATGACCTGCGGAGGAAGCAGCTGTTCTCTGCTTAAGTTACTATCTTGGCATTCAACTTGGGGGGGGGGGGGGCGAAAACANGTTGAGTTCTGAACTGGGTACCTCTAGAATATAAGTTTGCTGCATTACCATCTGAGCCAACTTGCTTGGTAGTAGGCTTGACTACTTACTTTGCGGACTAACCACTGTGTTTTTAGAAATGACGGTAGCATTAACATAAAAATTGATGTTTCAAGTATGTGCACTAAGGTCTCTACCCTTCCTAGTTATTATTAATATTATTATTTTGGAGGGGGTGGGTTTCCCCATGCACTGTGACCAGTTATTGATCTATTGTGCGTCCCCCTTTAATTATTCTACCAGTCGCCATGCCCTTCCAGTACTGGTGCTCGCTATCAGCCCCGTCCTGCCAGCGAGGTTGGACCTCTCTGGCAGTGGTACCCGATGTGGATACTTCCCCATCTACCGGAGGAACTGGAAACTACTTGGGCAGGAAACTTTGCCTAATTATGCTCAGAGGTCTCCTAAAGACATGAGGATCTTTTACGTGCCGTAAATCTCGGAGGCCGCTGACCCTTCCTAGTAACTTTACACCATTTCAAGCCTCTTCTTCTATGACCTTCACGAATGTATCATTAATCATATATAAAAACATAAAATGAGGTTATGACCTTTTTTAAACGTACAAAAGGTTCAAATTACAGACAGATTAATGATGTTTACCTGATGACATGCTGCTGATGGTAAGGTGTGACCATGAAGTGTGGTGGGACAGGTGAAGATTGTTGCTTCCATTTATTGTGACTTGGAGACACTAGAGTGTTTGCACATGCTGCATTAGTTCCAGGCAAATGAACTTGACTCTGAGCTGCAGGGCTTGCAATTGGCATAAACACATTCTGACGTGGCCCCACTGTGATAGGAGACTGGGCGATGGATGGGGATGAGGCATGACCCGTTGGAGAAGAGAATGCAGGGGTTGCTGATCGAGAACTGCCAAGGGAAACTAAAACAGAAAAAAAGTTTGCACCAAAAATAAGATAAGCCAGTAACCACTGAGTGTCTAAGTGACAATTCGGTTGGGAGCAGTGGACAGGCATAGGCAGAAAAATTTCTAACTGGCTGGTCTGAAGATAAATTGCATTCCCTGTATAGAACTGCATCACAAGACAAAGGTCAGTATGGATATAAGCTACCTTACAAGATCTTTCTGCACTATCTTATAACCAGAGAAATCTACAGGTTAAAGATCTTTCTGCACTATCTTATAACCAGAGAAATCTACAGGTTAATTTTGAAGGATTAGTATTTTTCTGCTCAGCGGCGGGAATTCCTTCGCATGACAGAATTTTAATGCTTAAAATTTTAACAAAACAAAGAACAAGCTCCTTCATACTTAAAATGACTGTAGTGTAATTATTGTCAAATATATAATTTCTGAAAATCTATACATTTACTGAAATATCTGAGAAGAATTAGTATCTTACCAAGCATATTTGCTGCTTCAGTCTCTTCTTGATCAAAACGCCCAGCTATTCTTCGGTCCCCATAGTTGGGAGACGTATCAGAATCACGTGATGTCTCTTCTCCTTCATTGTCTCTGCCAATGCCTTTACTACTCCTATAATGAATTGTTGAAACAAAATACTAGTAACTATTGTTACCTCCATTTTATGATGTACTTTCCATACCTAGAGCTGTGCGTGTCTTTGCTACATCCGAAGCCTATAAAAATGCTGAATTTGTTTAGACAATAATTTTGCCTGACACCCCTTGCTGTGAAATGAATATCTGAAAGGTAATGAGTACAATGGGGAAAAAGCAGCTGTCACCTGTACTATAAGAGTTCATCTTCAGAGATCAGAGAAAACTACTACCATCTTGATCTAAATTTGAGCCAGAGATCTTCTTAATGAAATGCAGCTAACTTATGATGAATATTTCATAATTCAGACCACCATATGATGATCAGATATAAAAGAACAAACAGTAACACTCTACTTATACTTTCACTTAAGCATTATTATTATTATTATTGTTATTCTTAGTGGGGTGGGACTAAGTCCTTTGCACTGCAGCCACTTTTGGCCTATTGTACCAGCCCCAGATGATAAGTGAGGGTGATTGTGGAGCAACTGGTAGAATGAAGATTGGCAGGGGAAACCGAAGTACTCGGAGAAAACCTGCCCCAGTGCCACTTTGTCCACCACAAATCCCACTTGACTAGACCTGGGATCGAACCTGGGCCGCCACGGTGGGAAGCCAGCGACTAACCACTTGAGCTATGGCGCGGCCCTTCACTTAAGTAACTTTAATAGGAAGTGAGAAATGAGTTCATTAACTCAATACACTTACCATGCACAATAATGACACCTTCCCTTACCCAGAAATTTTCACAATTCCAGGTTTTAAGTCATCTTAACTTCAACATTCTACCCTAAATCCATAATCTATTAACAGGCACAAGCTAAGTTTTTCATTTTATAACATTTCTAGCCTCCTGTTAATTCAGTCCTAATGCGCTCTGCAGCATCCTGTTCTCAAACAGCCTGAATCTACTTTCTCACTTGCTTGAATAGTTAACAGACACTGTGCTTGTCAAGAAACCTCCTGCTTTTATATATATAATTCAAAATTTCATTACTGTATTAATTTTCTTGCTAGTCTTTAATGCCATTTTCATGCAGTGGGAAATCTAGCTTCTAGCCCTACATAAAACTGTGACTATGAAGTACTGCAACTGCAGTTATGGTTAAAAAAATGGGTAGAGCTATCCCTGTAACAGGCCATGGAGGCCCATAGGGTTGTGAGACATCGAGGCTCCCACATTTTCTAGACAATCAGCTTTCAGATGGCGGTAAGGTTGTCAGCCTTATGTGATGGCTGCCCTTTACCCCCCAGGAAGATTCCTGGTACTCATTTCTGTTAGAGGCTGAGTCAACCCCAGAGCCATAGTGCGGCTGGAAGGATTAGGTCAATCAAAAAATCCAATGATAACATCAGGAATCAAACCTGCGACCTTCCAGCTTTTAGCATAGTGCCTTAACCAACTATGCTACTGTGTGCCCCCACAACTGCAGGTATGACTACTGGTAAATCAGTTCTTGTTGTGCTCTTTCATTACCTTGGGAAATTGGCTGGGCCAGCCCGAAGACTGCTTCCTTTAAGACTAAGATGTCTTGAGCAGTAGCCCCGCCTCTGAGATTCCTTGGTACACCCATCCTTAGAACATAACCTCCTCCACTGTTTCCCATTGAACTTCTTTCTGATCCCACTTGGTGTGGACACCACATCACCTTTTCTGTATTTGTGAGGCGTAGCAGCTTGAGACCTAAGAAAAATATTAATTATTAAATTTACCCTTGCAAGTATATGTTCAAATAAAGTGGCCTCCGTAGTCTAGGGGTAACGTTCCCACCTCATGACTCAAGGTACGCGGGTTCAAACACAGCGGAGGTCGTGGAATTTTTAAGGGCGGAAAAATTCAGGGAACAAGTCCTCCGGGAGGGACTTTAAGCCATGGGTCCTGTGTCGTAGCTTTACGGCACGTAAAAGAAGCTCATGTCCCAAAGGGACCACTGAGCCAAAGTCAGGACATTTCCCGCTCAACAGTAGTCTCTAACGCCTCTGGTAGATGGGGGAAGCATCGAGATACCACTGAGCCAGTAGAGGCCGAACTCACTGGCTGAGTTCGGACTGATGGTACGCACCAGTACCGGTAGGGAATAGAAACTGGTAGAATATCATAGGGGGACGCACAATGGACCAACAGTTTGTCTAAGTGCATGGGGGAACCCACCCTCTCCAATACAATACAATATGTTCAAATAATAATGTCTTAAACGTGATTATTTACTAAAACTTTTAAAGTGATAAATTCATTCGTTTGTTAGTTGCATTTACCAGTCAGTCACATGTCTTTTCTAAAGTAAATGTGCATGTATCACACACATCTGTCCACACGTATCATACTATAATGTGTACAGATAGGCAACGGCTCGATAAACACCTTCTCGCTTAAGGGCATGACAACAATACATGACCACTGCCAGGCAACGGCTCTGTGAATACGTTCCAACATGCAACAATGTAAGCTGTGTTCTCAATGGACGAATGTAACAGTCTGTTGCTAGGCAGCAGTCAGCATGCCAATTAACTGGCTGGATGGTGATCACATGGTAACCCCAAAAGAAGTGTCATGCAACAACAGAGGATGTTACGTTTCCTGTGTGTTGATCTGTTCAGAGACTATGTAACATGAGTCCCCTTGTAGCTAATTCAGTTGAGTTCTGAGGCTCCAGGGTGATTGAACAAAAAATGGCAAGAAGACTGCACACTGCCTGAAGTGCTAGTTTCTGTGTTGAGATCCACTGCCAGGAGAAGACTAGTAGGAACTGAGAATCCTGGTGCGTGTGAAATGGTGACGTATGTACATCAGCATATATATATTCTTTTTTTGTCTCAGTTGTACTGTATTTATGGCTTTCGTATTTGTATGACTTGTTCCACATCCTACAGTCATTCTGACTTACTTTGGATCTACAGAATGTAATGCATGTATGTAAAATATAGTAAAATGTTGCAACAAATGTATCTTTATAGGAAGGGAATGAAGTGGTCAAAACATCTCATCTGGCAACTTGCAACAGAAAATGTTACAAGCAGGCTGAAGAAAGAAATCCCACAAAACATTCAGCTCAACCCAGCTTGGCCCTTGGTGCAGCAACACTACAATTTTGCCAAGACCCTGAAGCATGCAATTTTGTGATTCACTCTATAGTACTACATGAATTAAGTTCCCAAAATAATCAATTATTTCAAACTGCCAATTTGTTATTCTCTATCCTTCCTGCAAACTTCTCACTCCTTGTTGTTTCTGCAGGTCTTTACTCTGGTTCAAGGCTCATCATTCTTTTTAATGTCCAATTTTCACGTACTTACTTTATGACATTTGTAAGCATTCATGACCGTTTTTTACCTTGGGGTGGCTGGTTGTGAGCGAGGGGTGATGCTCCTCTGCTCCACCAAACTGGAAGTGCTGCCTCGACTCTGCATGCTGCTACGCTTACTGCTGCCTGACAGCTTTCCACCATCTTGAAAGTAAAATAATAATAATATAACAATATGCAGGGACTGAACAAAATAATGGAAACACTAGAGATACTGTACACATTTCTTTATTAATATGGTGTTTGACCATCTTTAACCTTCAATACAGCTGCAAACCTTTTTGGAATGGACTTGTACAAGTTTTGAACAGTCTTTAGTGGAATTTTATACCATTTCTCTTGAAGAACATCTTCAAGTTGCTTCATGGTTGTTGGACGTGGGAATCCGTTCTTAACTCTAGTCCCCAAAACTGACCAGAGTGATTCAATGAAGCCCAAATGTGTTGATTCTGCTGGCTAGGGAAGATGCTGAGGTTCCCCTTCATGCTCTTCAAACCATGAGTGGACAGTTCCAGCTGTGTGAATGGGGCACTGTTATCTTGGGAAACTGTACTGTTGTTCGGAACGAAATAACGTCTGGAGCATAGGATGCACCTGATTACCCAACGTGTCCATGTCCAGGTACTCCCTTGCAGTAATTTGGCCATGAAGGGTAATAATGGGACCAACAGAATACTGTACCATGATATTGTTGCCCAAACCATCACAGAACCTCTCTCTTGTCTCACTGCTGAAACCAGCAATTCTGGATCATAAGCTTCCTTCGGTCTTTTCAAAACGTAAACTTTTCTTGATGTAGGGATCAGAGTGAAGAATGACTCATCTGACCACATCACGTGTTTCCAGCTGTCTGATGTCCAGGTTTTATGGTTGTAACACCATCAACTACGCATCTGAGCAATACTTTCAGTAATATACGAGGTTTAGCAATTGCAGCTCTACTGTGGATGTTGGAATTGTGAAGCTCATGTAAAGACTTTTTTTGTGAAAACAGGGTCTTCAAGATGAATATTCGGTTCTGCTGTCCTGTCACCTGTGCTGCAGTAGTTCTGTGATTTTTCAAAACAATCCTTCTTTATGTATGATGATCTCTTTCTGTAATGTTGATTTTCAGCCACTGTTCCTCTTCTCTAATGTTGTCTTTCCATGATTTGTGTACGCTGACATAACCTTAGAAACTGTCACTCTTGATAAACATAATAATGTGGCAGGTTTGTCACAGATGTTCCAGCTAAATGCACATCAACGATCTGTCCTCTTTCAAAATCGGAGAAGTCTCCCGTTTTCCAGTTCTTTCACATGGACTGTCACTCAACGCAATCACTAATGCACTGTCATGAGCACTACAGAGTGTAAACAAATGGAAGAACATTCAATGTTGTCAACTAAAGTTCTTTCAATGCAGCCAACACAAACATATTCTTTTCAATTTCTTAGTTTTTCCATTATTTTCGTCCCCTCCCCCATATGAAACAAACTTAATACAGAACATTTCATTTTTAACTAAAACTAAATATTATTAGAGACACCTTACTGCATGTTCAAAAAAGAAGGAAATTATAGAATGTTGTACATTCATTCCTCCACATGTTAAGACTGCTGAAAAAGCCTTTCCATGCAAGAGACAGGATTCTGGAAACCACTGTGATGGTGTAGTGATCCCACACCAGTCATTACAAACTGCCAGATCCAAGGATCTGTGCGCGCGCACACACACACACACACGTGTCCAATAGGAAGCAGCTGAAAGACAGCACTGATCAACAGTCAAGCATCCTGAATTTGTAGCACTACATACTTTTCAACATTTGCAAATATGGACCTGAATGGTGTCCTCAGCAAAACAGCACACGCTTTGCTTTCTGGTGAATCATCCCAGTCAGAATTTTAACCTTCTCATATATGTAATATGTATGAGAGAGTATTGTGGCCATGAAAATATTTTACCTCAAGATTCTCACACATTTTCATGCTCTGAGGCCCATGGAAAACTTTTCTAGACTGTCATCTATCTGTCTACAGGAGGTATCTTCAGAAAAATAACAGTACACACACTAGGGGCCAAATGTGGAATGCTTATTTTCTTGAAACCAACTTTACTGGTTAGATGGATTTCACACTTGCTAGGTATTCAGTAATCTACAATGGACTACTGAACAAAAGCTGATTTAATTTCCAAAATAATGTAATCAAGGTAAATCATATAAGAGAAAGTATGTGCAATGGATTTCCATCCATCTTTATGGTTCATCAGTGCTTAATATTTCTTCATCTCTGAGTGTATAATGGTTTGTTTACAAGAAATATTTAATTTGGACATTTAACTCTAGGACATAAGAACATGAGAAATAGTAAATTCCAGCATCAACCAACCTGTGTCTAATGAAAAAAGAATATCTTCTTTACGGAGATCATCATCACTTTCACAGAAATCATCATACTGACGTCGCCGGAGATCATCTGCACTGCCATTTGATAGGGCTGTGCTGGTTGAGTGAATGCTGACTGGAGTTGTCATGCTGTGAAGAGGAGATGTGGCAGCACTGCGATAGTAGTTGCTGGCATCAGCAGGCTGCAGTGTGGGCACATGATGAAGCTGCAGAGGGACTGGATGAGGTGGAGTGGGTTGATGTGTGTGTAACACAGAAGGCTGTTGAAGCTGTCCATTTGAATTGGGCAGATAAACTCTGCCATTACTACTGCCATTGCTAGTGATTACAGGATGAGGACCATCTTTCAGGCATTCTAGCTCATCCCACCATGGTGGCAATAACAGCCGAAGATCTGCTCTTTTAACCAGGACTTCCTGACTCTGTCCACCAATGAGCTTTACTAAATACTGTACTGGTGGTGACAAGATTTTATACACAACTCCCTCGAAGAAAACACGATGATTGACCATGGGATCCGCAGCACGAACACATACACGTGCCCCAACTTGTACCTGCCCCATTGAAGGGCTTGCATCTCCAATTACATCATATTTACCTGAACCCAGTACATCTGTAAAAGCAGCTACCTCATTATCATAATCAAAATTCACCCACACTTCTCCTGTATGTTCAGCCCGTTGAATAACACCAGGAAGATATCTTTTGTCTTTCTTGGCCAACACATGATTACCCTGCCATTCACGAAGGTCAATATCACTTCTTCCCGACATCTGCACATGCTTTCTAGACCCCACAATTAAACTACTGTCTATGTTTAATACAGGCATGCAGTTACTTCCATCTGACCGAAGCACTCTCATGTTCTCAGGCTGATGAGGAATTTGATTCTCTATCACAGTATCCATGAGCGTATCAATGGAAGACATTCGACTCTGCTGTGCCATATGCTGTGGTACATGGAGATTTTCAGACTGTTTGGGTACGGAGCTCACATATGAATAGTCCACGGCTGCTGCCTGCGGAGGCATCACTACTACACTTTGTGATGGAGGAGTTAAATTTGCACATACAACCACACTATTGTTCTGATTCTGAAAACGGTTGTCTGTTGATGTCTTCTCTAGCTCCTCTAGCTCAGAAGGATCAAATTTACGCTTTTTTGGCAATTTTCTAGCACTTACTGCTGTAGCAGTTTCTTTATTTACACTAACGGTTTTTGACACACTGTTGGTAGTTGATGCCATGCAATTGTTAGCAGGCCTATTTAAGTTTGAACCTAGTGATAAAACGTTTTGAAACCCCTGTACTTGTGAGGTTTCTTCCCCACCTGGAGCTCCACCCCCATCATATCGTCCAAAGTGGTCAGACATTTCTCTCTTTTCATGCATGCTAGCTTCTGTATTCATTCCATATGCACTCACAGTTGTGTTTGAAGTATTTGCAGTGCTGATTATTGTTGCTTCTGATGTCAAATTTCTCTGAAACAAAATAAATCGTAATGAGCTCAAAGAAAGCCAAACATAAAAAATGTTTCCTCCCTTAGGTGCAGGATACTCCCCCCCCCCTTTCTGATTGGGGCAACACCCTGAGGCATGGGGCATACTTTTCTTTATTACTATTGGCTCAAGGACCCCATTACAATCTCAAAGATATTCATGGGACTCTGCCATGACATTCACACATACATACATACTCCTATATATATATATTTTTGTACTATCCATTTAAAGGCATGCAAAAAGTGACCTGTTTGTAACACAACAAATAATCAATAATAAAACATGCTTAGAAATGAATATCATCTCCAGATATGCACATATAAACACACAACCACATAGCATAGTGGCTAGGAAAACACAAATACAAGCACAAACATTGAGAATAAAGAATGAAATAAAATTTCTATACAAAAAGAAAAAACGACTTAATAAAAAAACGTCATTACACACTTACATAAAATGCAAACACGTGAAAATCTATATGGAAGAATAGTGAAAAATAAATAAATAAAAAACTGCAAGAATAAATTAAAACAATACTTCAAAAACAACAGAAAAAACACAAATCATCCAAATTACAAATGCAAACAAAAAACACCAGTAGAAAACAGGAATTACCCCAGGGTAATAAACATCACTGACATACAGTTTACACAAAACATAATGTAACTGCTGAGAAAAAATTGAAGTACAATTTACATTATAAACAGAAAAAAATGGCTAGAATCACTACCATTACATGCAGAAACCACAACAAGTAAATGAAATGGAACAACATTACAGACATATGGTCACAAAAACAATAAAAAAGATTAACCAAAAGGATAACATAAATAATACAGATAAAACAGAATGGAAACTAGTAAGGAACATAAGAAATAAGTTGGTAGAAAGTGAGATCACCATAACAAAACCAGATAAAGGAAGACTACAATTATACTCACAACAGATTACACACAAGAAGTAAACTATTTCACTCAAGAGAATCAATTCGTATTACTTAATAATAATCCCAAGCAAAACTACCAAAAGGCTATAAAACATACAATGGACACAATGTAATAACATGACACAAAAGGAAAACAAATGTAAATATATAAACATGAACCCAACAGCCATAAATCTCCACATAAGAATAAAACTATACAAACAAAATACACCTATCAGACCAATAATCAATTGGAGGAGCACAACCACATACAAACTAGCAAAATATCTAACAAGTACATTACACCTACCCAATAAATATAACATCCAAAAGTCTATACATCTGACTACAGATTTACAATCTACAGAAACTGATGAAGATGTGAGAATGTGTTCATTCGATATAAGGAATATGTATATTAACATATCAAAATTAGAGGTCATCAATACAACAGAAAGCATAATAATCACAAAGATATCACAAAAACTAACAAAAAAGAAATAATAAACACATTAAAATCAATGGCTGAACAAGGCTGAACAAAACTATTTCCAATTCAACCAGCAATATTACAAACAAACTGAATAATTAGCAATGGATGTTCCTACTTCCAATATATTAGCTAGTATATATCCAATAGTATAAGAGAATATTAATGTCATCCAGTGTGATGATCTTTTATACTATTGTTAGTGTGATTGACCAGGATGAACCTAGTCAAATATATATCCAATATATGGAGCATAACAACTGTACCCAACCTTAAAGAAACATTAAAAAATTGGATATTTTAGATATGCAGATGACATTCTCGTAACTTTCAACCAAAACAAAACAAGCATAGTTGAAACACTAACAGAATTCAATAAACAAACAACCAGTATAAAATATACTATCCAAAAAGAACAACACAACTCCATCAATTTCTTGGAGCTAACAATTCACCGAAAAAGAACAAAACAGGAATTTGAATATATTGGAAACCTACACAAACACATACAATACCAAATGACTCATGACACCCATACGAACATATAATAGCAAGCATTAACTACTTAATGAACAGAGTGCATACATATCCAATAAGAAATGAAGTGAAAACAAAGGAACTATATATTATACAAGACACATTATGTAACAATGAATATAATAGAAAATTAAGCATAAGTCACTCAAATCCACAAACACAATAAAAATGCAAGCCCACAACACCAAACAACAAAACTGGTCAGTTTATGTACTACGGAATAGAAATGAAAGAAATCACAGGACTTTTTAAAGAAACAGACATAGAGATTGCATTATGAACAAAAAACACAATACAAAACCTAGTAAAGCCTTGCCTGCAAATGGATGAATATGAAAAAAGTGGAGTATACCAAATGAGATGTACGGATTCTTTTCCCTTGGCACTATAGCCCCAGTGGGCCTAGGCCTACCTCCATGAACTTCTCCGTTCACTTCGGTTTTTCTAGATCTTACACATTCGGTAGGACTCCTTGGGCGGGTGATCAAATCGTCGCCAGGCCTCTACCCGTACAAAAACACAGAAAAAACGCACACATACAAACTAAACATCCATGCCCTGAGTGGGATTCGAACCCATGATCCCGGTTTCCAAGCGAGCGAAGACAGTACATGTCTTAGACCGCTCGGCTACTGTGACCGGTGATGTACAGATTAGCCTCTAAAATACACAAAGCAAACAGCCGAATATTCCAAACCAGACATAAAAAGCACATACAGGAAATATGGAATAACAACAGCAGCTCAGGATATTCGAACCATATATTTAACACATGATATGCATATGGGAGTATAACTAACACTATGAAAGTCTTAAAAACAGAGAAAAAAGGAAAACACCTCAAAACATTCGAGAAATACCATACCCACCACCTAATATTTGGAGTAGCAGAAGAATTAAACAAGAGAGAGCAATAAAAGCGCATTATATAAAGAAGAACCAGTCCAACTAAGCAAACATTCAGGAACAAGACACATTGTAAAACACACAGCAAGGAAGAACACAATGCACCAATTCCAGTAAGTACGCAAATAAGTAACCACATGACACACAGAGAACTTTGCATACATGAATTCTGATAGGAAATTCACACATGTTACAGACACACTAGGGCACTGAAGGGACTTGCATATATATTAACAACAAAGGACAGCAACTTCTTCATCAAAAAATTTTTAACACGTGATGATGGCTGTACTGGCTGAAAGATGTAAACTTTTAAAATTTTGAAGTTAACAAGTTTTGTGGGACATGGTGTTGTACATGAAACTGTGAATAACAGACGCTAAATAAATAATCAAAGTGCTGATGCCATCATTATTTGATCAGGTTCTTAAATTAAACGAATTAAAAATCTTGTGCATAAAAGTACAGCTAATATTAAAAGCAAATGCCACACTGAAATTAGCTGAAAAATATAATGATACTTCATTACTATTTTAAAATTCCCACTTGTGTAATATTGGATTTATTTCATTCATATTTACCATCCAAATTAAAAATCAGAGAGGCATATCACTGAATACATGACATTGTTTAGATGAAAGAGGTAATTCTTGTCTGTGTTGGACAATACAATAAAAGATGAAGGTACAGTAAAACTGTCTCTGAGCCAAAACATCATCGTGTACAGGTAATGTGTAAGCAACGCTTCATGCATTATAGAACTGCAAACTGGACAGAGGGCAGGATCAGCTTCACTCTGAACAAAAGATTCTCTGGTACTCAAGTGTAACCTAGAGAAGGTTCTCTTATTTAGACCAAACCCAGTGAATTCTCACGTTTTTTAAAACAAAACTGGCATGCCTTAACTATCAAAATGAACATGAAAAAATATAATTGGTTCAAGGACTTTTTTATTGCCAGTGGGGTGGGACTTAGTCCCTTGCACTGCGGCCACTTCTGGCCTATTATACCAGCCCCAGATGATAGGTGAGGGTGACTGTGGAGCAATTGGTGGAATGAAGATTGGCAGGGAAACTGGAGTACTTGGAGAAAGCCTGCCCCAGCGCCTCTTTGTCCACTACAAATCCCACTTGACCAGAGCCGGGATCGAACCCGGGCCGCCGCAGTGGCAAACCAGCGACTAACCGCTTGAGCTATGGCGCGGCATGTGCAAGGACATTACACATATTTTCTCATGCGTTCCTGATAGATCACATGGCTTCTGTAAATTATTAAAATTTAATCAACATCCGTTTATCCATTTTCTCAAGACAACTGACACTTCATATGCCTGCTGCCTGCTACATACTATTTCTTGCTTCGCTTATTCTTCACCCTTGAAGATAGTAGCAATATGCTCCTCTGAAATGTCAGATGACTTTCAACACACTAGAAGGTATTACATTCCAGAAGAAAGAATTCTTCATAACTGCCACTGTGTGAACCTCAAATGCTACATACCAAGTTCCTTGTTCTCTGAACCAACTGTCAATGAAATTGGAAAAGTCATGTAGACAAGAACATACAAAAACTGGGCTCAACATAATTTGCAATGTGGCATCTTTTACTTCTTAGCAGCATGTAACTTTCAGAGACAAGTGTACTTCACACATACTTTCACTGTCATACTGTAAGTTACAATTTGTGGGGATATGCCACTAACAATAGAAAAATATTTATTTTGTAATAAAAAAAACAAATAACATAATCAGAATAATATGGCCATTGCTCTGAGGAGTCATGCATAAGTTTATTTAAGAGATTTCGGATACTAACACCTGTTTCTGGGTATTTGCCTTAATAAAAATTTAAATGAATTAATATGAAATTATTATGTGAAATTCTTAAGTTCGTGAAATCAATACAAGGTAGAGAAATGTTCTCCACAGATACATTTTTAATCTTAGTATTCCAAAAGATATTATTCAGGAATTAACTGCACAGCAAGAGCCTTTTAAAAATCAAAAGTCTATTCTCTAATAGAGGATAATTTCAATTGTCATTAAAAGAAACCGCTTTGCCACACACTTTTCACTGTGTTGATAAACTTGTAAACCTTATATACTAGCAGCTTCTTAA